ATTTCGACGACATACTTATCTACAGCCGTTCTCTAGAGGACCATTTGTTGCATGTGCGTGAAGTCCTACTTATTCTTCGGGCGGAATCATTCTACGCGGCTCCCCAGAAGTGTATCTTTTTGGTGGATTCAATTCATTTTTTGGGTTTTGTGGTGTCCGCCACTGGCATTCGAGTGGTTGACAGTAAGATCGCGGCGATCAGGGATTGGCCTACTCCGACCACTATCACGGAGTTGCGGAGTTTTCATGGTCTCGCTTCATTTTACCGTCGCTTTATCTCCCATTTTAGTCGATTATGGCTCCTATTACTGATTGTCTGGCCGGGAAATCATTCTTATGGATGGAGCAAGCAGCTTCGGCATTTGTGTTGATCAAGGAGAGACTCACGTCTGCTCCCGTGTTAGTTTTACCAGATTTTTCTCGCCCTTTCGAGCTATCTTGTGATGCTTCCAAAGTCGGCATTGGGGCTGTGCTTAGCCAGGACAATCGTCCGGTCGCTTTCTTTAGTGAAAAGGTCTCGGGCCCGCGACTTTGTTATAGCACGTATGACATCGAGTTTTATGCTGTCTATCGGTCCGTTCACTATTGGCATCACTGTCTTTTTCACCGTGAGTTTGTCCTCTTTTCTGATCATGAGGCCTAGGGACATATTTCCTCCCAGGATAACATTTCGGCACGCCAATGCCACGTGGACTTCGTACTTGCAGCAGTTTACATTTGTCTTGAAGCACAGGTCGGGCTCGTCTAATCAGGTGGCCGATGCACTCAGTCTTTGGGCGCTTTTGTTGTCTGACATGCGTGTCGCAGTGGTCGACTTCGACATGCTGAGGGACTTGTACGGTATTGATTCTTTCTTTGGCCCCATTTTCTCCCGCCTTCGTTCTGGTCCTTTTGAGGATTTTATTCTTGTTGATGGCTTCATTTTCCGGGGTGTGAGATTGTGTATTCCGAAGTGTAGCTTGCGGTTGAAGTTGGTGAGTGAGCTACATGGTAATGGTCATGTAGGCAGGGATAGGTCGGTTGAATTGGTTCAGCGGTCGTATATCTGGCCCTCTTTGCGTCCCAATGTCTCCAGTTTTGTGGCTCGTTGTCGGATTTGTGAGGTACCAAAAGGGGGTGCGATGAATGTCGGTCTTTATCGCCCTTTACCGATTCCTTCCCAACCATGGTCGGCCATCAGCATGGATTTCGTCTTGGGTTTGCCGAGAACCCAACGGAGGCATGACTCTATTTTTGTGGTGGTCGATCGCTTTTCGAAAATGGTTCACTTTATTCCTTGCAAGCGCACTTCTGATGCCCTCTATGTCGCCCAGTTATTTTTTCGCAAGGTTTATCGCCTTCATGGTCTCCCTTCTTCGATTGTGTCTGACCGTGATTCCTAATTTCTTAGCCACTTCTGGTGCATCTTGTGGCGACTCGCGAATACGCGTCTCGATTTCAGTAGCACGTACCATCCACAGACGGACGACTAGACAGAGGTTGTCAATCGTTCCCTTGGGAATCTTTTGCGTTGTCTGGTGGGTGAAAACTTACGTAGTTGGGACGCGCGCCTTGCTCAGGTCGAATTTGCCAATAATTCGGCTATCAGTCGGGCCACTGGATTGTCTGCTTTTCAGGTGGTTTATGCGGTCCAACCGCGCAGCCCGGTAGACTTGCTGTCCCTTCTGTCTCCGGCTTACACTGATCACCGGGCCGAGGACCTCATCTCCGCTTTGCAGCAAACCCACGCGGCGACCCGCTCTCGGCTTGAAGAGGTGACGACTGCTTATAAATGGCGGGCAGATTCTCGGCGACGCCTCGTCGAGTTTGACGTCGGGGACTATGTCTGGGTTGTGTTAACAAAGGAGTGCTTTGCTGCTCATGAGTATAATAAGCTCTCTGCCCGGAAGATTGGGCCCGTTGAGATAATTGAGAAGATAAACTCGAATGCGTATCGTCTTCGCCTTCCTTCATATGTTCGCACTTCAGACGTGTTTAATATTAAACATCTGGTTCCTTACCATGGCGAAAATTCAGACGACGAGATTCCATCGGATTCGAGGGCGAATCCTCCTCAACCGGGGAAGAATGATGGCGACGAGATCGCCTTGGCGTATTTGACAAAATATGACCGGCTTCGAGTTTAGACGTTATTTTTATTGCTATTATTTATTGTTTAGTTGCTGCTATTATTCAGTAAGGAATTATTATTGCTATTATTAATTTTTATTCCTAGCTTAAGAGGGTTAAGAGTATATGAATAAGGAGTTTCTCATTGCAAGGTTTCCTTGGTTATGAACGATTGAATAAGAAATCTCTCTTGAGTTTTATCTGTTCCCATGGTAGGCTTTAATCTGCATCAGATTAAGTATAATATAAATAAAAATCTACAGCCTTATATTTCCACTTAATATACAAAAGATTGAATGTTATTATAATATTAAAAATAAAATATATTAGTAAATATTATAATGAAAATAAAAAAAATTATTAATTATAATCATAAAAATGTGTGTCATTATAAATAGTAAATGCTCTATTAGCCAATTGTTACTCAATTATTTCTATAATTTCACCATAAGAATATTGATAAGTTTATATACTAAATTTTTATTACAAAAATGTCTTTTTAAGAACCCGTGTAG